TTCTATTTCCACTGTATTTTCAGTTATTTTCTTCACTGAAGTCTTGAACCCCTCAAAGTCATCCATGAGTGTTGTACTCAACTTCTCTTCTAAACTCCTGATAATGTTGATATTTTGACATCCTCCCATGAATCATGAATGTTCCTAATGGTATGTAGCATGCTGAATCCTTTCCAGAAGGCTTTGAATTTAGTTTGCCCAGATTCATCAGAGGAATCACGATCTGTGGCAGCTATAACCTTATAAGATATATTTCTGAAATAATAAGACTTGCAAATTGAAATGACTCCCTCAACCTTGGGCTTCAGAACGGCTGCTGTGTTAGCAGGCATGAAAACATTAATCCCCTTGTACATCTTCCTCAGAGCTCTTGGATGACCAGGTACATTGTCAGTGAGCAGTAATATTTGAAAGAATCATTTTATCTAAGAAGTAGGTCTCAACAGTAGACTTTTAAAATATTCAGCAAACCATGCTATAAACAGATGTGCTTTGTTGTTCCATTTCTAGAGCACAGGCAGGGTAGATTTAGCATAAATCTTACAGGTGCCCTAGGGTTTTTGGAATGGTAAGTTAGCATTGGCTTCAACTCAAAATTACCAGCTGCATTAGCCCCCAAAAAGATAGTTGCCCTGTTCTTTGAAGCTTTTGAAGCCAGGCATTGACTTCTCTCTAGCTAGGAAAGTCATAGATGGCATCGTCTTGCAATAGAAGTTTGTTCCATCCACATTGAAAACTGTTGTTTGGTGTAGCCACTTTCCCCAATGACTTAGCTAGATCTTCTGAATAACCTGCTGCAGTTTATACATCAGCACTTGCTGCTTCACCTTGCACTTTTATGTTATAGAGATGGCTTCTTTCCTTAAACCTCATGAACCTACCTCTGCCAGCTTCAGACTTTTCTTCTGTAGCTTCCTTACTTTTCTCAGAATTGAAGAGAGGGCCTTGCTCTAGATTAAATTTTAGTTTAAGGGAATATTGTCACTGGTTTGATCTATCCAGACCACTCAAACTTTTTCCATATCAGCAATAAGGTTGTTTCACTTTCTTAGCATTCGTGGGTTCAGAGTAACACTTTCTATTTCCTTCAAGAACTTTTTCCTTGCATTTCCAACAAGGCTGTTTGGCACAAGTGGCCTAGCTTTTTGCCTGTCTTAGCTTTCAACATGCTTTCTTCACTAAGCTTTCTTTTTCTTTTTTGGCTTAAAAAATATTGTTTTGTTTGTTTACTGTGAAAGACAGCAGAAAGACATTTCTAACTTTTTTAATTTAAAGTGAGAGATGTGAGCACTTGGAGACCATAGTAGGGTTACAAATTGGTCTTATTTCAATGTTGCTGCATCTCAGGGAAAAGGAACAAAGAGAGGGAGAGATATGAGGGAATGGTCAGTTGGTGGAGCAGTCAGAACACACCCACAACAACTGTCAATTGAGCTTGTGCTGTCGTATATCGGGGCGGTTTATGGTGCCACAAGATAATTACAATAGTAACATCAAAGATTAGTAATCACAGATCACCAGAACCGTTATAATAATAATGAAATGTTTGAAATATTGCAAGAATTACCAAAATGTGCCACAGAAACACAAAGTGAGCACATGCTCTTGGGAAAAATGGCACTGATAGACTTACTCAGTGCAGGGTTGCCACAAACTTCAATTTATAAAACACACAGCCTCTATGAAGTCCAGTAAAACATAGTACAATAAAATAAGGCATGTTTGTATAATGCCCACAAAAAGAAACCCAGAGGGCTCTGTTCCAGTAACTATTGCTGCCAAACAACCTACACCAAAACATAATGGTTTAAAAGAACAAGAATCATTTCATTAGCTCCAATATCTGCATTTGGGTCTGGGTTTTGTGGCGATACTTCCTCTTGAATCTACTTGCTGTCAGCTAGGACAACTTGAAGGCTGGGGCTGATTAAACACTGTGTCAATTTGCCCCTTTGTAGCAAAACTCCTTGAAAAAGTTTTCTATCCTCTGTCTCTGATTCTCTACTGCTGTTTTTCTCCTTTTAAAATTATTTTTATTTTCATCTATTTATTTTTTTTTAGAGACTGGGTCTCACTCTGTCACCCAGGCTGGAGTACAGTGGCACATAGTTCACTGCAACCTTGAACTCCGGGGCTCAAGCAATCCTCCCACTTCAGCCTCCTGAGTAGCTGGGACTACAAGCACACATCATGCCCAGCTAATTTTTTTGTTTGGTAAAGACAGAGTCTCACTATATTGTTCTGGCTTGTTGTCTTGAACTCCTAGCCTGAAGCAGTCCTCTCACCTCAGCATCTCAATGTGCTGGGATTACAGGCATGAGCCATGATGTCTAGCCTAAAATTATTTTTTAATAATTCATTTTGAAATAATCTCAAATGTAGAGAAATTTGCCAGAAGGCTAAAAAGATTTCTAGTTTCCCTCACGCAGATTCCTTGGTTATTAATACAGCCACTATGGGAAACAGTATGGAGCTTCCTAAAAAACCACAATTAGAACTACCGCATCCAGCAATCCCATTACTATACATTTATCCAGAGGAAAGGAAATCAGTATATTGAAAAGACATCTGCACCCCTGTGTTTATTGCAGCATTATTCACAGTTGCCAAAATGTGGAGTCAACCTAGGTGTCTTAACAACATATGAATGCATAAAGAAAATGTGGTATTTATACTCAATGGAATGCTATTCATCCACAAAGAAAGCATGAAATTCTGTCATTTATGCCAACAGAGATGGAACTGGAGGACATTATGTTAAGTGAAATAAGCCCGGAACAGAAAGTTAAACACCATATGCTCTCACTTATATGTAGAAGCTCGAAAAGAGTTGATTCTCTGCAAGTAAAAAGTAGAACAGAGGATGGTAGAGGCTGAGAAGGATAGGAAGGTAGGGGGAACAGGAGGGTAGAGCAATATTTGTTAAAGGATGTAAGATTACAGCTAGATAGAAGGAATAAGTTCTCTAGTGCTATAGGATGACTATAGTTAACAATAATGTATTATATGTTTCAAATAGCTAGGAGGATATTGAGTGTTCCAACCCAAAGAAATGGTAAGTGTTTGAGATGATAGATGTGTTAATTACCCAGATCTGGTCATTATACATTATTGTATTGAATCATCACTCTGTAATTCGTAAATATGTACAATTATTATGTCAATTTACAAAAACATTTTGTCATTGCATTTGCTTCATTGCTCAATACCCTTTCTCTACAGACACACACGCACGCATGCACACACATGTACGCACACACATGATCATTCATGTTTTTTTTAATCTTTGGAAAGCAAGCTTTACAAATGATGTCACATTACCTCTAAATACTCCAGTCTATATTTTCAAACAACAAGGATATTCTCGTACATAATTGGCATACAACCTTCCAAATCAGGAAGCCAACATCAATATAACATTGCTACCCAATCCACAAACCCCATTCAATGTCGCCAGCTGTCCCAATGGTACCTCTTCTTTCTTTCTGGCCCAGGATCCTATCTAGGAATATGTGATACATTTAGTAGTTGTGTTTCTTCAGACTCACTCAATCTGAAAGTCTTTTAGTCTTTCTCTTGACAGTTTTAGAGAATACAGACCTTGCATTATACAGGATTTCCCTCAACCTTGATGTACCTGATGTTTACTTGTGACCAGACTTAAGTCACACATTCTTGGCAACATCATCACTGAAATGATACTATGTGCCTTAAATCAAGTAACAAAACATCAACCTGTCCCATTGCTGGTGATGTTAACCTTGATCTTCTGATCATATTGGTGCCTGTCAGAGTTCTCCACATTAAAGTCATTGTTAATGACCTTTTTTAAGTGATTATTATTTTGTGGAGGGTTTTCTAAGAATACATCAGTATGTTCTTATCAGTCACCCACCAGACTTAATCTCCATTGACAACTCCCATCTGAATCAAATCTCTTTGATAGTGCCAAATGGTGATTTTCTGTTTCCTTTCTTTCTTCTACATTTATCAGCTGGTAAGGAATATCATTCCTTTTTATTTTTTTATTTACTTACTTTGATTAATTGATTGATTGATTGATTGATTGATCGACATGTGGTTGCCCAGGCTGGAGTGCAGTGGTGCAGTGATAGCTTACTGCAGCCTTATGTCCTGGGCTCAAGAAATCATTCTGTCTCAGCCTCCCAAGTAGCTGGTACTACAGACGTGCACCACCACGCCTGGCTAATGTTCTTTATTTTTTTGTAGAGATGACGTTTTGCTATGTTGCCTAAGCTAGTATCAAATGCCTGGGCTGAAGTGATCCTCCCACTGGCCTCTCAAAGTTCTGGGATTACAGACTTGAGCCACTGTGCTCAGCTTATTATCATTATGTTAATGCTCAAATTGTCTGTTAGCCAGTAGAGTGCCTTCAGTTGGCCTCCTGTGTCTCTTCATCATGTCCCATTGTTAATGGTATACTTCCTTAATTTCTGGCACAAATAATGTGTTCCTGGCTCATTTTGTACTTTCCTGGCCCAGCCTTGGAATCAGTCTTTCCTCCAAGGAGCTCTGGTTCCTGTTAGGGGAGGATAGGTATTTAGGAAACAAGATCTGGCTGGGTGCAGTGGCTCACACCTGTAATCCCAACACTTTGGGAGACTGAGGTAGGTGGATCACCCGAGGTTGGGAGTTTGAGATCAGCCTGACAAACATGAAGAAACCCCATCTCTACTAAAAATACAAAATTAGCCTGGTGTGGTGGCTCATGCCTGTAGTCCCAGCTATTTGGGAGGCTGAGGCAGGAGAATTGCTTGAACCCAGGAGGCAGAGGTAGCAGTGAGCCCAAATTACGCCATTACTCTTGAAGCTACTGGGGTAGGATGCCATCATCTAGGCTCACTCAGCAAAAAAACAAAACAAAAAAAAGCTAGAAAAATATCTACATGTCATGCTAGAAGTTACATAATTTTAATGTGTTGTAGCTCTAATTGCAAGGCAGTAACTAACAAAATCTTATGATATTACCCCTGACCCAGGTATGTGTAATCCTCGAAATTATAGTGACACACCTCCAACTTCAAAGAGCACAGTGGAGGAGCTGCATGAACCGATCCCTTCTCTCTTCCGGGCACTCACAGAAGGAGATACTCAGTTGAATTGGAACATTGTTTCTTTCCCTGTTGCAGAAGAACTTTCACATCATGAGAATTTGGTTTCATTTTTAGAAACTGTGAACCAGCCACACCAACAGAATGTGTCTGTTCCCAGCAATAATGTTCACGCGCCTTATTCCAGTGACAAAGGTAACTGCTAACAGTTGACTTTTTCCATTCCGCCCCGTCATGTGGTCTGTACATGTAATCTATGAAGCGACCATCTTTTGGAGCAGCTTTTTGGTTTTAAATTTGTGTCATCTCACATAAAATCTAGACTCAATAACCCTGATCCTGTCATATCTAGAGGTACATCTCAGAAGGATAAGGGAAAAAAATATATCTCTGATCCCTGAGTAGATAAAGAGGCATGTTGGCTGGGCGTGGTGGCTCACATCTGTAATCCTAGCACTTTAGGAGACTGAGGCGGGTGGATTCACGAGGTCAAGAGTTCGAGATCAGCCTGACCAACATGGAGAAATCCCATCTCTACTAAAAATACAAAAATTAGCCAGGCATGGTGGCGCATGCTTGTAATCCCAGCTACTTGGGAGGCTGAGGCAGGAAAATTGCTTGAACCCAAGAAGCAGAGGTTGCAGTGAGTTGAGATTACACCACTGCACTCCAGCCTGGGTGACAGAGCAAGATTCCATCTCAGAGAGAAAAAAAAGATAAAGAGGCATGTCAGCATATTGTCAAAATTCCTCTATACTCCTGGCAACAGAGGCTGGAAAATAGATCATTGTTCCTAATTCTGGTATTTATTTGTGTTAGGCTTTATTCCCTTCATAAGATAGCAACAGTGCTGCTTCTCTAATAGGGTATTGCTTGTCATCAGGTAACATTCAGAGTATCCCATGAGATCAGATTTTTATAATAGCACCAGCACCAAAATAATGCCAAAGTCATTAGCTAAATTTCTTTATAAGCAAGTTGGTATTCCAGACATCTTATTTGCAGGCATAAACTAACCCCAGCCAGTTCTCTGCAAATGGGTACTGTTGATCAGAAGAGGAATTAAATGAGAAAATAACATACAAATTACAGAAGCATATTTAAGAGCATTTATTAGTGAGGATAGGGCATATAATAATTTTAGAATGTAAAGAGCATGTGACTTTTATAAAGTCTGATATTTTTTGACAAAAGGCACCAAATAATTTTATGACTTTTATAAAGTCTGATATTTTTTGACAAAAGGCATCATGGAAGCATAAAGCACTTATAAACGTTGCAATTATTTCTTAAACTATGAGGTGAATTATATATAAATAGTATAATTTGTACTCTTACTTGACTATTAGTTGTGCCTTCCATTATATTCCTACCTTTATAAAACAGTGTGAACTTAGGACATTAATAATAAAAGCAGAATAGCTTCTGTTAAATTGCAGTGTAAGAATTCTTACTTCCTTTTAGGTTAAAGTATTTTAAAACAAATGCTAGATTTTGGAAAACATTAGAAGCATATGGAATGCAATAATAATATGTTTTGCTATCATTATCTCCATTATTAAAATATAAATAACATAATCGATATTAAATAAAAATTCATAAATTTTTCTTAAAGATTGTTTAACTTTATGAAACAATTAGCAAGAAGCTAATTCCTGGAAACTCCAGCTGTCTTTAAGACACAACTACAGTTTTTTTTCTGTGACATCTTTCCTGGGCACCTCTTCCCTCAGATATAGTTAACCTCTTCATATTGCTGCTCCTGCATTTGCAGGTTTTTTTTTTTGACATAGAGTTCACTCTTATTGCCCAGGCTGGAGGACAGTGGCGTGATATCGGCTCACTGCACCCTCCACCTCCCTGCCTCAGCCTTCCTAGTAGCTGGGGTAATGGGCGCCCACCACCATGCCCAGCTAATTTTCTGTATTTTTAGTAGAGACAGGGTTTCGCCATGTTGGCCAGGCTGGTTGCGAACTGCTGGCTTCAGGTGATCCACCTGCCTCGGCCTCCCAAAGTGTTGGAATTACACAGGCTTGAGCCACCACGCCCAGCCTGCATTTGCAGTTCTATTTATTGTCTGTTTTTAACTTACAGATCTATCATTTTCTACTTAGTTCTGCGTATTCTCTGATTACTCTTTGAGTTCATAATGGATATCCCATAGTAGATATCAAGTAGTTGTTGAATAAATAAATGAATTGAATTTCTTATGTACTGATCACTTGGAGATACTCATGCTTCCACCTCCCACTTACTGCCAGCCCTCTAGTCTGCGTGACATGGTGCTGCGATGCCCCTGCTCCAGTTTCCTCTTCAATCAGGTCCCATCCAATGGTGGTTCCATCATCTCTTGATATCAACCACCCATTATAGTTGGGCTGCCTCCACTCTGTGGGTATAGTATGCATACTATACCCATCTCCATATGACTTTTATTTTGTTACTTAGTAGCTCTGTTTTTCATTCTTTCTAATGCAAATCCAGTTTATTCCATTAAGCCTTCCTTTACTATTCAGACTCCTGGTGCTTTATTAGTTCCATAATAGCTTTGAAAAAATAATTTAGCCTTTGATCATATACGCTCTGTTAATGGTATTTATTATCCTTTATTTATTTCATGTACCCTGTCCTCCTAACTAGTCATACAGAGTTAACCACCAGGAGAACTAAAAATTGAAGTAATCAAAAGTGGTTGTCTTACTGGAAAGCAGACTAGGAATTGCTATTAAGAAGAAGTTTTCTTTGAGACAGTCTCACTCTGTTGCCCAGGCTAGAGTGCAGTGGCACGATCTTGGCTCACTGTAGCCTCTGTCTCCAGGTTCCAGTGATTCTCCTGCCTCAGCCTCCTGAGTAGCTGGAATTACAGGTGTGCACTGCCATGCCTGGCTAATTTTTATGTTTTTAGTAGAGATGGGGTTTCTCCTTGTTGGCCAGGTTGGTCTCAAACTCCTGACCTCAAGTGATCCACCCATCTCAGCCTCCCAAAGTACGGGGATTACAGTTGTGAGCCACCGAGCCCAGCCTAAGAAGAAGATTTTTAAATAGCTGGTACTTATTTGTGCCAAGGATTGCTAATCACTTTGCATCATTTGAATTGTTTAAGTTTATTTTATGTTATTGTAAATTCTCAGTATAACTTTAGAACAGCATTTTTCACATTTCTTTTGGCTTGCAAATTCTCTTTTTATAGAAAATCTTATCAGAAATGTCCAGTTTAGGGCAGACGTGGTGGCCCATGCCTGTAATCCCAACACTTCGGGAGACGAAGGCAGGTGGATCACAGAGGCAGGCTGGAGTTCGAGACCAGCCTGGCCAACATGGCAAAACCCCATCTCTACTAAAAATACAAAAATTGTCTGGGTGTGGTGGCACACATCTGTAGTCCCAGCTACTCAGGAGGCTGAGGCAGAGAATTGCTTGAACTTGGGAGGCAGAGGCTGCAGAGAACCAAGATCATACCACTGCACTCCAGGCTGGGCGACAGAGCAAGACTCCATCTTAAATAAATAAATAAAGCTCAATTTAAAAACACAACTGTATAACGTAGCGCATATTTTTTAAGCCCAGTAATCTAACCTTTAGATCAAAGCCTGAAATCTAATAAAAGAAGCTAAGGAAGCCCTTTGCCTTCTTCAGATGGAGTAGGAGAATATGACTTCCTTCTCAACATAATTAATAAATGAAGATCTTTTTTCCTGTATCTCACCTTTGTCATGTGCAGACCAACAATAACTAAGATAAATAACTGTTAATATTCAGCAAGGTATTAAAGCATTTTTTTTTCTTCTTTCTTGCCCTGAAATCTTAAATTTTTGTTTTTCAGAACACATGTGTACTGTGGTTTATTTTGATGACTGCATGTCCATACATCAGTGTAAAATATCCTGCGAGTCCATGGGAGCATCCAAATATCGCTGGTTTCATAATGCCTGCTGTGAGTGCATTGGTCCAGAATGTATTGACTATGGTAGTAAAACTGTCAAATGTATGAACTGCATGTTTTAAAGAACAAAGAGAAATGCAAACCAAAGCAACTTAGTAAAATAAAAGGTATAAAGTTATTCAGTAAGTCTGTTGTTTGCATTAGAATACCAGTAAGTTAAGATATAAAAACTTTGAAATAAGTTTATTTTGAAATATGACATAGCCAGTGATGTGTTTAATTATATTACTGTTCTTACTGATTTTATTGCCCCTAGCAAGAAGCCCTTTCCTTTGAATACATGTACAACTTTGGTCACATGAGAAGCAGGTGCACAGAGAATTCCTTGAAAGATCTAGGGTTCTTAACATGAAGCCTGATGTGGTTTTCTTGTAGCATTCCAAAGGTTTTTGCTTTGAAAGTGTTCGCAGAAGTATGTTGATGTGAGTTATGATTTCTTCATGTGCTACTCTTAGGATACTGAATTTTTATAGTTGCACTTCATTCCTCACTGTTCCTTGTATTATCGGTTTTTATATAAATAGAGTAGATATTCGATATACCACTCTGATAACTCACATAAAAAACTCAATTTCAGCCCTTTTATGTTGATTTTAAAAGGTAAATGCTTGCCATATTTTATAATTACAAACTCTTACATAGTAGAATCCTTTCGATAATAGATGCAATGACAAAGCTTTAAGGAAAGTTTCCCATTCTCTTCCATTTCCCCTGCCCAAAGTGCTAACATAGGCAGTGATGAAGAATTTTTACCAAGATTTTTAGGGTACACCTATGAAATTGCATTAAATGCACTACTAAGGTAAATAATTAGCAAGCAAAAGCATTTCTGTGACTTAAGGTACCAGCTTAAAGAGCACTAGGTTAGGGAACAAATGCCAAATCAGACTCCACTTAGAGCACCGGGAAATAGCTTGTATCCTGGTAGGGAAATGGTATAGCTGAATCGGGAGGCTGAGCCGGAAGCAAGATTAAGCTTGTGCAGCCTTAGCCAAGACAGAGCAGGGTTTTCCAGCAGATGAGTGGTGGGACAGGAACTGAAGAGAATTTAGTGGTATGAACAGGACAGGTTGAAAATGCTGGGAATTATAATAGGAAACAAACTTAAAACTATCTACATTCATATTTTGTAATCTTTCATTTGTTTAGTTTATATCTGGATGTAATGTTCTCTTTAAACAAGTATAATCACATTGTGGGAGGTAAGATTATGAAATTTTGAAATCTCTGTTCAAGATGATGTTCACTCCAAATACACTACAGAATATTTAGTCAACATTTTATATAATGTTTCAATAAATGCTTTGATAAAGAAACTAGGTACCCTTCATAGTAATAAAATCTCAGTCTTTAAGCATAAATCTAAAACATAAATATTTATATTACAGACTTCATTTTACAAAATTACTAATTTCTCTAGTGCATATTTAAACTACAAGCAACTTTTTAGGAATATCTCTTTATACATCTACATATTTTAGTATATAAAAATAGATAATGCTCTTGGTTACATTTTATATTGCTCATGATCTGAATAGCAATCAGTTAAAAGATCATTGTAATATTATGATCAACTATTATAAATTAAAGTCTTAATACCTTTTCTGCTCTTTCAGATAACTAATGAATATTCAAGATACTTTAGCCTTCTAAAAAGTTGAGGTTTAGCTAATGGATATATTTTTCGGTAGGAAAACATTAGGGTCTCCTTTTCTTCCTTTTGCCTAGAATGCTTTGTTTAAAAGTGCCTTGAAAACATTTAGCTCCCCTTCGTCACAAGCACCTGTAGAGCTGAAGGTGTCCTTGAACTTTATAGACAGAAAGCTGAAAGAAATCTGCAGCCTCCTGCTGCAATTCAACTCTGCTGTTTTTCAGTCATTTCCTACCTGTGAGTAAAGTAGTGTTTTTATGTGTGTTGGCAACATGCCTAATGTTTTCACAATGATGACAACAAATATTTAAAAACTGCATTTATCATTTTTTAAGGTCCTCATTATTAAATTTTAAAATGTAATATCTGTTTCCTACCTCCTACGTTCAGAGGATAATTTCATAAACCACATTAATTGATTTTTCTTACCTCGATTTCTCTCATTAGAAACTTGTCTCTGAATGTAATGATATTTTGCATTCAAATTTGGCTTGATTTTTCTGATTTATGAGGAGTTGAAAGAAAGAATTCGCTTAAAATATTCCATGTCCAGTTTAATAATGTATTTCAGTTATAAATAACAATATTTTTCCAAATCGAAAGTAAACATTGAAGAAGTTGATAGCCTGACTAAAAGTTAGATTCTCTATTACAATTCTAAGCACATTCACTTCTATATTGAAGTTTTGGTAAAAATTCTTTTTTTCTTTTTTAATAAAAAATTAGATTATTACTGGCTGGGCACAGTGGCTCACGCCTGTAATCCCAGCACTTTGGGAGGCTGAGACGGGCAGATCACCTGATGTCAGAAGTTCAAGATGAGCCTGGCCAACATGGAGAAACCCCATCTCTACTTAAAATAAAAAATTAGCCGGGCATGGTGGCACATGCCTGTAATCCCAGCTATTTGGGAGGCCGAGGCAAGAAAATTGCTTAAACACAGGAGGTGGAGGTTGCAGTGAGCTGAGATCATGCCATTGCACTCTAGCCTGGGCAACAAGAGCAAAACTCCATCTCAAAAATAAATAAATAAATAAATAAAAATTAGGTTATTACTTTTTTTATAACCATATTTTAAAAGCACTAGATTTTAGATCAGTGGGTATCATAAAAGCCATAAATGAAAGATCCTTTCTTATTGTAAGACATGTGCTTGTTAGCAGGTTTTCTGTTAGTTTTTCCCCTCATAACATTTCATTATTTCTAAAACTATTTACAATAATGGCACCAAATCAAATGATAATTTAAATAAAATCTATTCTCTGTTTACCTAGGGTGGTATAAAAGAGAGATCTTCATCTAGATATGTGATTTCTAAAATTTCAGAAAGGAAAATTGGCAAGATACTAGAATATTTGAACAATTATTTATAATCAGGGTTGCATAAAAATGGAGAAAATAAACTAAAAGTTTTCTGAAAAAAAGTGGTAAATATAAGCCACATTTCTAAAGTTTATTTTTATGAAAGCTTCTTTTAAGATTTTTTGAAATCTATTCTGCATTCCCAAGAGTTTATGTTTATTATATTTTATATGATTTACAACATATAAAATTGTGTATTTTTCTTTGATTGTCCCTATAAACAAAAAGTATTTTAATAAAAAATTGAAATGAGTGTGAGTCATATTTTTGGTTAACTTCAGCACAGATATAAATGTGACATTTCTGTCTAAAGAAGATAGTATTTAAGGAATCTACAGGTCGGGTGCAGTGGCTCATGCCTATAATCCCAGTGCTTTGGGTGGCTGAGGTGGGTGGATCACTTGAGCCCAAGAGTTCAAGACCAGCCTGGGCAACATGGTGAAACCTCATCTCTACAAAAATACAGAAATTATCCGGGTGTGGTGGTGTGTGCCTTTAGTCCCAGCTACTCAAGGGGTTGAGGTGGGAGGATCACTTGAGCCCGGGGAGGTCGAGGATGCAGTGAGCCATGATTGTGCCACTGCACTTCAGCCTGGGTGACAGAGCAAGACTCTGTCTTTTATAATCAAATAATTAAATTAAAATTAAAGCAATCAGCAAAGATTGTTCTTTTCTCTCTGGATGTCTCTACAGATTCTCTCAGAATAGAGATTTTTGAATATTTTGCTGTTTCACGTGCTTTATTCCAATATGGGGGAGGCTTTTCAATGAATACTTAGGCATTCTGCTTGCTCTGTGGGCCTTCAGTTGCTAACCAGCTTAACAAGAATGATCTAAAGGTTACAAGGAGTTGCAGAAGGATCAAGGTAGGGAAAAACCATTCTCAGCTCTCCCACAGAATACTGTTAGAATTGAGAGCCATAAGCTGTGCTGCCATGGCAAAATCCCCCTCATTTCAGAGTCCGTGTTTTGGCAGCCTGGTGCATGGGGGATCTAGAGAAGGGAAGAACTCAAGAGGACAGCCTGAGTGACTTAGGAGCCGTGGCATTTGGAAGGTAGAATGAGTTTCAAGGACAGATACATTTGGCCAGGAAAGTTGTACTTTTGCTGAAGGTGTCCACATAACAGCTAGTAGAGTGAACCTGAGCTTGGAGGGGAGGCATCCAAGCTGAAGGCTAGAGGAGACATCACAGACAACAGGGCGACCTGGTGCATCCGGCCCCATGGGTCTGCTCCAGATCCTCCAGGCTCTGAGCTCAGTAAGCCAGCCAGACACCGTCATTAGCCGGTGGGTGTTAGCAATTACAGCTCTTTGACCTTTTCCTAACCAGTAAGAAGTAAATGTGTTCTACCTCCTTTTATTTTAAAGTCTGTGCTTGAAGTGTGGGGTCAGCAACAACTCCAAGGTTTGGCTTTTGAGATGAGAATTCTCCATGCAGACGCAAAGACCAAAGAGTTCTGCTCTCTCCCAGTAGTGCTGGGAAGCCTGGAATCCGTCTGTGACTCACTGAATGAAGCCTGGAGAGTGCAGGCGCCTCGCCAGTCAGGGAGACAGGACTTCCCTCACTGGGCTGAAGGTAGACCCTGAAGTTAGGCACAGTTACCGGCAAAATACCTTTCTGGCAGAAATGTGTTTCCTGCCCATCTAACTTACATATTTCCCTCTGCAGCCAACACAATCTTTCCAGAACACATGTGCTGGTAATTACTGCTTCCACCCCCCAGTTCCAGGGAATAGCAAAGTTGTTTCCTCTGCCTCGGAAAGGTCTGAGTTACCCACTAGGAAGTTGAGCAAGGGCAGACAACCTGTCTTTTGTTTTCCTGAAACCTCCCTGGCTCTGGGTTGTTCTGCTAGCGGAGGGGAGAGAATGAGGCATTTGAGGGTCTGAGAGAGGGGCCAGGAAGAGGTCACAGAGGCCCAGGTCTCCTGACTATGGAGACCAGAGCTCACCAGCCCTGTGGCTCACGGGGAGCCCCAGCCTGCAGTGGCCTCATTAGAAATATTAGCAGCCCAGCCCTCATTGTCCAGAGCCCCCCATACTTGCCAACAGGGTTCTGTGACAGGGTTCTGTGACAGACTTGCCTCCAGGGAGGGTGACAAAGCCTCTCCTGGCCAGTGTTGGATGGGATGAGGCTCAGAGTCAGATTTTACTTGATTTGAAGAAAACAGTGAGACACGATGTTGCAGCCCTGGGTTTGTGAACTGCATTTGTGCCCCAAGACTCCTTGCCTCAGCTTCAGCCAGCATCCCCTCCTTGCTCATGCCATCTTCTTTCCACTCCCATCACTGCCCTCTTAGCAGGCCAAGCTCATGCCACCCTCTCTCTCTCCATCCTCAGGCTGTCGCAGGAGTTTCACCTGCTGGACCTGCTTTTTGTGCAGATTGTGGCTCCTTGCTCTGACCCCCACCCCCTTTTTGAGATGGGATCTCCCTCTGTCACCCAGGCTGGAGTAGTGGCACAATTTCGGCTCACTGCTGCCTTTGCCTCCCTGGCTCAAGCGGTCCTCACCTCAGCCTCACAAGTAGCTGGGATCACAGATGCACATCACAATACCTGACGAATTTTTTGTATTTTTGGTAGAGATAGGGTTTTGCCATGTTGGCCAGGCTGGTCACAAACTCCTGAGTTCAAGTGATCAACCTTCCTCAACCTCCCAAAATGCTGATTACAGGCTTAAGCCACTGTGCCTGGCCCTCTGACCATTTCTAAAGGGGCGGCCCCTTCCCACTACCCTATCCCATCAGTCTGCTTTCTTTAGCAGCAGACACCCCTCCAAAATCAATCAGTTACTTGTTTATCATGCATTCTCCTCTTAGTATTTGGGGCCATTGAGAGCAGGGACCTTGTTTCTTTGGTTTGTCACTGCCCTAAACACAGCTCCCGACACCTAATGTCTCACACTCAATGGGCACTAGCTTTTCTGTGGATGGATGAGTGATGGCAAATCTTACTCTACAGCTACATTAAACAGTGGCTCCTCATTGCTCTCAGACGATTAAGTGCTAGCTTGCAGCAGACCTCTCAGGGCCAGACAGTGTGTCCCTGCTCACCACCAGGCCCAACTCAGCAGTCCAGGTGGCCATCCCCTGAAGCTGCTGTCAGTTCCCCTGTAAGTATGGTTTCATCAGTCTGAGACACTTGTCCTTCTGTGCCCACCCCTATGCCTTTCACTGAGTGGCTCACAATGGCGTAGCCTTTGACTCCAGGGCATTTCTCAGCAGCATCCTAACTTCATCAATACCCTATACTTCTGTTTTCCACATTTCCACCTGGTGTCCACGTTTCCACTGGGCCATTTGCAGAATTGCAAATACACCTTTAACCATGTGGCTTAGGCTGTTTTTAGACTGCTGACCCATGCGGGCTTTGTGGGAGACTAAGGGACTTCTTTAGCAATCTAGCAAGAAGCCATGCATGATGATGTGAATTTTTTTGATGTCCTTGAGAGCAGATTTTATTTGCAGAAAACACTGCACAGAAACTAATGTTCATTTTTTAAATTAATGTTTAATTTATTTAATTTACAAAATCAAACTTAGTTCTTCCATAGTTTTTTAAAAGTTTACAAATATTTCTTCTAGCAGCCTAACTATACATCTAATGATCATTTTTACAGAGCCCTCATTCAATATTTTCTGAGTACTTCAACAGCTAATAAACTCACTATTAAGGTGAACCTGTTGAAATTTCCAATACTGCACATAAACAGGAAGATTTCAACTTAGAATCAATTCTCATTCAATTTCACACTTACCAATTTTAAACTGGAATTGTGAGGTTGTGTTCTAATAAGCCAAATCCTCTAAAATATTCAAATATGCCCATACTTAACACAATAGTACTAATGATATAGTTTTGATTCTTTTATCCCAGATCCTCTAAATCATTCCATGGTTGAAAAACAGGTTCTGGTTAAGCAAAACACGTCACAGAGGTTTCTTATGGCCTCAGTAAAGTAGGTGGCAGAGAACTTGGAAATGGAGGTAGGTCAGATTAGAGGATAAGACTTAACCAACATTTAGCCAGACACACCCCAAAACATAAGTCAACAAGAGCCTGCCCCTGGACAAGCAGGGCAAAACAGGTGTTCTTTCCAACTGATTTACTACCAAGATGAAGAATATCCTGTTTTCTTCCCAAATTTGCCAGTCGTGTTGTTTCTCTGCCCAGAGGCAGAATGAATATAAAGGCAGAGAAAGGCCAATGGTGGACTAAATGATTTCCTACCCAGGAAGGAAACATCAGGTTTAGGGAAAAATTGTTCTCAGTTCCAAGTGATACACATTACCTGTGTCTTCCCAACTTCTCAGAGAAGTCTGCCCTTCCCACCCGGGGCAATGAGTGGATTGGATTTTGCATATCTTTGGTTCTTAAGATATGTTTTTGTCGGCCGGTCGCGGGTGCTCACGCCTGTAAACCTAGCACTTTGGGAGGCCGAGGCGGGTGGATCATGAGGTCGACAGATCGAGACCATCCTGGTCAACATGGTGGAACCCCATCTCTACTAAAAATACAAAAAATTAGCTGGGCATGGTGGCGCATGCCTGTAATCCCAGCTACTCAGGAAGCTGAGGCAGGAGAATTGCCTGAACCCAGGAGGTGGAGGTTGCGGTGAGCCAAGATTGCACCATTGTACTCCAGCCTGGGTAACAAGAGCGAAACTCTGTCTCAGGGAAAAAAAAAAAAAAGAAAGATATGTTTTTGTCTTTTTTTGTCTGGTCACAGTGGCTCACGCCTGTAATCCCAGCACTTTGGGAGGCCAAGGTCAGGAGTTCCTGAGGTCAGGAGTTCAAGCTCAGCCTGGCCAACAAGATGAAACCTCATCTCTACAAAAGTACAAAAATTAGCTGGGCATGATGGCAGGTGCCTGTAATCCCAGCTACTCAGGATGTTGAGGCAGGAGAAATGCTTGAACCTGAGAGGCAGAGGTTACAGTGAGCCAAGATCTCACCATTGCACTCCAGCCTGAGTAATAGAGTGGGACTTTGTATTTAAAAAAAAAAAAAAGATACGTTTTTGTCTTTTTCTCTAAGTTCCCTTTGATGAAATTCTCAAATATGGAAATAAATGTCTTTTGAATATCAGGTTCGGGAGCTTTGAATCTAATGGACTCTTTCATTTTTTTCGTGTTCTAAGGATCATACAACTGTTCTAAAATGATACCGTACAGAATTTGAGTTACCTCAGTTGGCTTTGCCTAACCAGTGGCCACAACTTTAAGGTCTTTCTATGGAAGGCTGTTTCCACTGAG